CCACTTTAGCGATTACTTGGAAATCGCTACACTGAGGTCGCCCATCAACTTATCACTGAGCTCGTCCATGAACGGCTCCGTCATGACAGCATTCGTGTTCGTGGCTGCCGGTGTCAACATCCCGTTCATCACATCCGTCGCCACGTCGCCTTCCTCAGCTCCGGCGCCTTCCTCAGCACCATCGCCTTCCTCGGCTTTGCGCCGTTCTTCACGTCGTTTTTGACGCCCATGACGGTCGCCCCTCGCACCAGAGTGTACGTGCCGAAGTGCCGCCATGGCCGTCTTCACATTTGTCACATACCGCTCGGCACGTTCGCATTCTCCAGTTCGTCTCCAGCTGCCATCATGGCCACTCGAGCTTCCCCCTCTTGTCGTTCTTCGTCGCCATCTTTCGTCGTCGTTTTGTTCATCACTCTGCCGTTCTTGACGTCATCTACCACAGCCGTCGCCGTTGATGGTCGTGGTGCGTTGCCAGTCCTTTCGTCCCGTCCGTACGGCACTGTTCCGTGGGGAATCAGTTGCGGCACAGAGCGCGGTACTCCCCTTACTACGCCGGGCCTCCGTTTCCGCAGGCTGGTCCTTCGTGGCCACGCGTTTGGCAAGATACGCGTCGTTGCGTGCCTTCGCTTGGCGAAGTGGCCGTCCTGACCACAAGCGTAACATCGGTTGTTGAGGTTCTGTCGAGTGTCACGCCTGGGGCCCGTGTTTGCCGTCCGTGTCTTTGCCGCCTTGGTCTGCCGAACTTGCGCCTTCAGTTTCTAGCGTTTAGATGGTGGTGGTGCCTGTCCCTGGCTCCGACTCGTCGCTCGATTCTGGCGGGCATCGCACCACCATCGTCTTCGCTCTGCGCTTCCCACTGTTCGCTTGACACCAGCTTGTGCTCCTGATGCAGCGCGTTGCTTCTATGCTTTCTGGTTGAGCTTCCAGTAGCGCCCGTTCTACGTTCGTCCTTCAGGTACTCCCAAGTCCCGTGTACTTATTCCAGACGCCTTGTGGGTTCGTGAAGTACGCCAAATCCTCGCCATCCGTCCTCACCATACCGTTTCCCTCTTCCATGGCTCCCACGCCACTACCAACATCTGGAATGACGAGTACCTGCCCGGTCGTGCCGTCCATTAGTACCAGATATGTGTTTGGGGCCGTTGACCAAGCCTGTCCAATGTTGTGCATTCCTTGTACGACATTGTCGATGGGATCGTCGATCTCGGTCGCCTTGTCCACGGCTTCTTCGAGCTTCCGTGGTTTCGGTGGTTGCTTCACCAGTTGCCGTGTCGTTTTTGTCGAGGCTTCGATAGAACTGGGCCAGCAGGATCCGCTCACTGACTTGGTTCTGTCCAGTAAGATCGCGTAGGCCAGCCGCAAAGTCGACGTAGGTCTCTCCCGGCATCATCCGTCTCCGGCTCACTCGCCATTCAGCAGCGGACTTGTCAGGTCGCTCCCGTATCGTCGTAGTAAGACCGTCTTCAACGTTGTCCACGTTCGCTCCGGGACAATTCTTGGTCCATCTGGACCCACTACCTTGCGGCGTATCTTGTAGCTTATTACTGAGAATATAGTACAGTTCTTCATCCGTCCATTCGCCTTGATCCGAAACTCTAGTCCCTTCCAACGCC